GGTCAAAACATAGGATTACCCATTGCAGAAAACTAGGTGGTCCCACTATATAACAATAAATATAATGTAACTACATTCAGCCAGACCCTGAATTTACTCCATCTGAAATTAATCTCCAAAACTACAGGCTTCTGGGTATTCTGAGTTTCCTGAAATCCAGAGCCAACTCAGTGGAGGAAAATCTCCTCTCTTCAGCAACTCTTGAGCACCCAATTCACCATTCAATTGTTACCTCAAGTTACCTCAAGTCAGCCTTGCGAAATTCTACTCACTCATATGAGTGACTAGCTCTTTCTTTTGTTTCTGGACAGGCAAGAAAATAATTAGGCCTTCCATTGTAAGACTTTATTAAGGGCCAAGTCTGCAAAAACCAGGTCCTAAGTTGTGCTTTTTGCAAACTATGCATTGGTAACTGAGTGAGTGCAACCCACATTTGTATACTGTCTCCACTCCTGCCACACAATCACTTCTTTGTGTGGGCAGTTACTGGTACAAGTATACAGCTGCTTTTTTGCCAGTGGAAATTGGGATCAACACACACTAAAATTAGGCTCTCTACCTTTGGATTGTGCTACAAGATAGCAGGACTTGTATTTTTCCTAAACTGAGACAGTAGCAGATTTAGCATTCTTCAACAGAGGGAAATCCATGCTTTGAACCAAAGAAGCCAAGCTTTTCATTTCACTACAGAAGAGCAGCAGCTCAATGAGGCCTGTTTCCTGCCCAAGGTTTGTCAAGGTAACCATCCCAAAAGATGTAATCACAGAGCTGACTACCAAGTTTTAAGAGGTCTAACTCTCCTTTCCAAGCACACAAGTAACTAGTTATGTGAATGAACAGAAGAGACAGTTCAAGGCCAAATTCTGCTGTCTTTGTTTTTACAAAAGCAGCATTAGTTTAAGCCTAGGTGTTAGCCAGCTGTGCATGCCCACATGGTTATCTGCGAAGATAATTTTTGCCAAGGCAGTGCAGGAGAGAAGGCAGAGTGGCATCAGGTGAACCAATAAGGTGCACACTAAAACACACCTTCCTAGATCTGGCCTTGCCTGTGACTCAAAGCATAGAGGACATGGACAATGTCAACTCTATGGGTCCGGAGGGCAGTGCAAGCCAGGTTGAAATAGTTTAAGCCTTTTACTCCCTCCCACCTTCAGTTTTCAGGCATAAGCCAGCTCTCAGTCAGAATTCAGCTCCATGTGTCCCGTGGTGTTAGAAGCGCACCTCTGTAATATAATTACTGTCATTGTACACACAGGTCTTTTTTGGGCAATTATTAGAATTTCCATTTGTTTCCTTCATTAGGGGGCTGTAATAGGAATTTAATTCCAATATATTTGAAAAGGCTAAGTTCCTCCCACCATACCCCTCCTGGAAACCACTGTATACTGTTAAAGTTTAAAAACGAAGCAGTGTCTTGACTTGTCTTTTTCTGTCACTTACCTGGTATTTATCATGGAGCTTGAAACCATGTGCTTCCCAGAATATGCTGCTGGAGGTTTTTCTTTGTTTAGATGCTCCTTTGTTTCCCCAGCGGGGATGATACTAGAAGTTAAGGGCTCTAAGTCTTTATTCAGCTCTTCTCTTTGATCAGTTTCTATCTGAATCAAAGGCACTTCCCTTAGGAAAGCAGAGGAGCCTATTTGGCTTCCCTGGAGGGATCCATGGGTTGTGAGTTGTTCTTTTTTTCCATCTAAATTTATTCTGTCCCTTGTGGGGTTAGACTGACTTTGAGTCACACTTGGGAGAGATCTGCCTTCCGCTACACGTTCCTGGTTTGTATAGTCAAAGGAATCTTGATGGACGACAATTAACGTTTTCCCACTTTCAACAATATTTGCAGCCAGTCTGTTTGCATATTGTTCTACATGCAGTGGGGAATCACTGGGGAATTGATCAGCATCTGTAACCTCTGCCTCATCCCCTATAATCTTGTTCTTACGCATTAGAGATTCAATTGAGCTTGCCCATGTCTCATGAATCAGCATGTCTGTTACCTGGTCAGTGCTACATCTTTGGTATAGGCATGAGTCCGACTTGCAAAGACCCAAAGAAGACACAGTGTTGACCTGCTGTATGCTTAAGGAATCCCGGTGGCTGTTGTGAGCAAAGCCATCTAATGATTTTGCTTTGACTGGTGCACTCACTGTTAGCCTGGAACCTGATGATCTGCTGTCAGGCATAGAGGATTGTCTAAAACAAAACGGTGATCGTGGAGAAGGTGGTAACAAGCTGCCACTCCACTCCCTTGAACTCCTGATGGAAGAAGCGTCATCTTTATTTTCCTTTTCTATTTCCCTTAGCATATACCTATAAAACTCTTCTGTGATGCTTTCTGTGCTAGACTGTTTGGATGGGCAGCTTGGTCTCACGTTGAGGTGGCCATTTTTCCTGGCAACCTGTTGCAAGGCAGAAGTTAGAATGCTGCTTGCGTTTTTTCCTGCATAGTAGTCCAGTAATAAATCAAACCCTCTCCCTTCATTTTCCATCTGGTTCACCATAAATCTTGAAAATTCATCTGTAATACTTTCACAACTAGACTGCTTAGAGACAGAACTAGTCTGGCTTCCCGGCTGACCTAAAATGTTCATTGGGCCCAAAGTATTTACAGACCCTTTGGAATCCGAATCCTCTTCTGGTATGCTCTCACAGCTGGACCCCTTTGCCCGGCCCCATCTTTCACAGTGCAATCTGTTTCTGGGATGGTTTGGACCCTGCCAGACATTATCAACCATGGATAGCTCGGTTAGGTTCATAATTTTAGCAGCCACTTCATTTGCAAAGATGCTGACAGACTCTGGAGTATCTTCAAGGTTGATGGATTCATCCACTACTCTGTTCATCAGTCTTTCCTTTAGTTCAGGATGCTCATCTGTTTTCCTTTTGATCTCACTAAGCCTAGGTGGCCTGTGCTTCCTAACAACTGAGCCATTGGGCTGTGATTCCTTCTTTCTTTTTATAGTTCTGCATGATAAACTCTGGGTCACCAGATATTCATTTCCTCTTTTCCATGCACAGAACCAGGGTTGCTTACCGTTTGAGTTTTCAAGACAAATGGCAGCTATTTCTGTTGCCATAGAGACCACGGTTTCTGCTAATTCTTCTGCAAAATCTGTTACACAGTATGTATCCCTTGGATGTTTTACCTGTAGCACAGGCTGAGAAGGAAGCAAGATGTGATTACCTAACAAAGACACACTAACTTGGACTTCATTATTTAGCAAAGCATCACACTTGTGTTTGCTCTGGTTTGCTGTGTTCACAATGGCATCAGAAGATAACTGCTCTTGAACACCATGTCTGCATTCATTGACTGTAAGTGTGTTTTCCCTGTCTGAAAAAGACCGGAGGTCTTTCTTGCTTTGATATGGGGGTCTGTAGCAATCTCTTGTGGCTCTTTTCAGATATCTTTTCTTGGGGGATGTTTTTGCAACCAGTGAGTTATGCCCACTGACACTACACAGCAAGTCTGAACGCAGTGTGGCACTTTCCATGGTATTTGACACCCCTTCCTCCTTATCTTTCTTTGTATTTGTCAAATTTACAAGATCTTTGCCAGCATTAGCACTGTAAAAAGTACTAAATGGTTCATTGGTGTGATCTGGGGCTTGCTGTGATGGTTCAGTAGCTGTTGTCTGTGTTCCTTGGCTTTCTGTTTCTGTTACCCTCCATCTGTCTTTGTCCTCGGAGAAGAGAGGTGAACACTCCCCAACCTGTGCAATATCTCTCATCTTCTTGCAAGTGAAATATATCACGTTAAAAAGCAGTTCATTGGCAGTCGCCATAAACATGTTGTGTGTACTGAAGTCTGAGTTCTTGTCTGAACCGGGGTGTAGCTGTCTTTTCTTCCTAACCTCTTCCACAGAATGCCGCAGAATAACATTTGATACATTTTGTGCGAGTTCATCGCAAATTACTTCATCCAAGGGTGAAATCCGGGGCCTTGTTGCTGTTTCAATAATTCTTCCATTTATGGATTCCATAAAGTCCCCTACATTTCTATATGTATTGGGCTTTGTCAAAATCATGGATGCCTCTTTGAGCAATGTCTCTGCAATGCTTTTGTTCAATTTCTCCATGCTGCTTCCTATGGCTATACTACAATGAAGAGTAATAGCTGCAGAAGTCTCAGCTGCAGATAAGAGTCCACTTGAAGTTGCAGGGTATTTATCTTCCTTTGTTTCACCAAGACCACAGACTGCTACAGCACTTGCTACTTGAGTCATGCCACACAAAGCAGATGGAAATGAATATTCTGTATCTGCACAGTTATCAAGTACTTGTGAAGATTTTATCTGTTCCTCTTCATTATCAACTGTTTTGCTTTTAGAGTCTGTGGCTTCTTGTTCTCTTTTGAGTCTTTCTGTAGCGTGGGGGCTTGAAATGGTTCCAATAACTGTGGCTGCACAAGCCAAAGCTACTTCCAGTGCACTCTGGGTGTGTCCTTTGGAATTCTCTTCCTGCAGGTAATCTGAAATTTCAGCAGAACTTTCTGATTCAGACCAATGGCACAGATTTGGGAAACCAGACCCAGGCCATTCTGATGTATTTTCACAGCTGTCTGGGCTTTGAACTATGACAATTTTTGGAAGTTCATTCCATGATCGGGACGTTATGTCTTCTGTTGTACAAGTTGCTGAATTTAAGGAGTTTCCTACAGAGATGCTAATAGCAGCCTCCTTGGTAAAAGTGGGTTGAGATTGGGACAATCTAATAAATGCATCTTGCAGAACAGACTCTGCTAAATTTGTAGCATATTGACCTGTTGTTGCTTGTTCATTTTGCAAAGGAGGATGAGGTTTCCTTTCACTTGTACGCTCTTCTGTGTCTAGCTTATTGTTTTGTTTTGATATTGTGTCACACTGAGAAGCTAGTTCTTCCTTAGTCATTCTGGTCAAAGATACACCTTCTGAAGTGCACACTGGATAGGAATTTTCAGCCTTGTCTGTAAGGGATCTTTCCAGACTATTAGTATTAGGGGATGACCTAACTCTTCCAGCTAATCCATTCTTCCACTGTAGTTGCTGGATGGACTTATCCACAGTTTGTAAGATGCTGTCTTCAGCCACAATATTCAGCGCTTCTTCTGAATCAGCAGAGTTTTTAGCAGAAGCTAAGTTTTCTTTATTAAAGCAGTTGTCATCAAGGGCAAATGGCAACGTGGTCTTCCTATAGTGTAGGTTCTCAAGTCCCTTTCCTTTAGGCTTTCTGATATCTGATGCAGGTTCTGTGACATGTAAATTTTCATGACCTGTAAAAATAAAAATTACACATTAGCCTTTAGATAACTAGTTATTTTCTAAAAGGTGATTGTATTAAAGTAATGTGTAGTCCTGTACAATTAGCATACAAATACCATGTACCCTATCTCTTGAACAAAGATTTAAAAAAATATAAATGATTTTTATCTCTCCAAATTATCCCTCTTCTATACTGCAATTAAATATATGCATGAATTAATGTCAAGTGCAATTTATATGAGCATTGCAGAATGAACAATAACAAACTTATGGTCAGTGACATTGCTTTTACCATTTTTATATTCATCAGCCTCATTCTCATCTTCAAGGTGCTCAGATGCTGTGAGAAAATCTTCTTCTATTGAGGACACTGAACAGTTTGTATCATCCTCAGGCTTTAAGATATTAGTTTCTATCTGCAGCTGTCTCTCCTGCACAAGCTCCAGTCCAATCAGAAACTTGTTTATTTCAAAGATGATGCAGCCTATGCTGTTTTTTCTGTTTCCCCTGGCACACTGAACCAAACATACATCTGCCAGCCAAGGACACTAGAGGGGAAAATAATATCAAACAGTTATTTAATTGAAAAATATTTTTTTCCGTTACTTTACCCCTTATAATTATATTAGGAACATTCTGTTGTAAAGAAGCAATAAAATTTGTGAATTAGATGTTTTCAACATATTGTGCAGCTACATTTATGCCAAATATGAGACTGTTTGGAATGACATTTTCAGTTACAAAAGTGTTTTACGTAAATCGGGTGTAAGAAAGCACTCTGCTGTAGTACAACTACTTTTTTTTTAAGTTACCAAATAGCTTACTCTTAATTCAGTTTCTTGTCCTTTTAATGACATACTGTCCTATTTGCCTTTGGCTATGTTGAAGTTAGCCATCCTCTCCATTATTAAGATATAAGTGTTTCTGAATGTTATTAAGCTATTTAAGGAATGGTTTGCATGGGTTCTAAATTCTTCTTCAAGACCCTTTCTATTGTGATGCTTATAAGAAGTCAGCCTTGTGGATGATTAGTTTGCAGGGCAGTTAGGGATGGGGCAATTTACGTATTATAATAAAATACAATATTTTAAAATCGTAAGTGCTTTGTATTCCTTTCCCTCACCCTTAGCCTTATGCCTGTGCAAAGCACCATTATTAATTATTTATATTACAGTAGCACCTAGAGACCCCCAAATAAGCTTGGGGTCCCATTGTGTTAAGTGCTACATAGTAAGAGACAGTGAAGACCTTTACCATCTAAGCAAAAGACAAGGGGTGGGAGAAAGGAAGTACTATTATTCCCATTTCACAATGGGGAACTAAGGCCCAGAGAGATTAAGGCCCAGATCCTCATAGGCATTTAGATGCTTAATGGGAGCTAAGTGCCAAAATAACGTTGAGGCTGTGGGTCTAACTGACTTGTCCAAGGTCATACACAGAGTTTGTGGCAGAGCTAAAATGTGAAGCCAGCTCTCAAGTCCACATCCAAGTGCCTTGATGACAAGACCTTACGTCCTCTCTTTTGACTTCAGTTGGAGTGAATTATTCATGTGAGTGAAGGAGTCAGCTTGTGTAGCTCTGATTGCAGGATTGGGGCCTTAGACTGAAAGCTCTTCAGAGCTGTATCTGTGTCTTTCTATGGATTGGTACAGAACATTACAGCCCTGCCCTGACTCGCCTTTGGGTGCCACTGTAAGATAAGTATCTAAGTGTAGAAGTCTTGGGATTAGTGTTATACTGTAACAGCACATTTAACTGGTCTGTTGTTCCCTTCTAGCTACACAATATGTTTGAGTGGAAAATCTGCATGAATAAATCTGTTAGCAGCTGAGAGGGCACCAAAAGATTGACAGGCTTTGAGATTACTTGTCGCTAAGAAGCTACCATTGAATTCCAATTTAGTACAAAGAGTACTATGAAAAAATGCAAAATAATGAAGTAATGTGAAACAGTGAATGAGATTCAATTTGTATTACTTCAAAATATAAAAATATGAAGTAAAAATGTACTTCAGTAGGACGCTGTCAGCTTAGATTGAAAATGTAAGTTTGGGGATTTTTTGTTTTGTTTATTTTTTAATTATGAATCCCAATAATATGTTTTCCTGAAATTTACATCAATCAGTAAAACCAGATGTATGTTTAGATATAAACATTCTTCTGCAAATGTCCCAGTACACAATTTGCAGTGTTACATTAGTGTTTAAGGGTCAGGAAATGAAACAGACTAGAACCAAAGAGAAAATGAGTGTGTGTGTGTGTGTGTGTGTGTGTGTGTGTGTGTGACTTTAATGCATGTGAAAAGATTGACATCTCTGAAATCCTTTTTCTAGATAGACAGATATGACAAGGACCAAATTAGCACAATGCTTCCTGATGCCAATGTTATTTCACCTCATCCTGACATGGAGAAAGCACCTCTCCAGTGAGAAGTTTAGGTCAGCTTCAATTCCTGTTTCAGTCCTGACCTCCCAGCAAGGGTGCCAGCTGTGCTTTTTTGTGATGTGAACACTTGTTTACTGGGGTGCTGAAGATTGGACTGAGATCACCAAACTCATAGGCCACCAAACAGACATCAGATCTCCTGGGCCTTCTGCAGCTCCCATGAAGTGATGTGGCTGTTCATTGCTCCTTACTGGCGCAATGGAGCTCTTTGGTACTTAAAATGCACCATGCCATTATTTATGTTTTTTAAATGCAGCCATTAGGTATAAATAGCAAGTAAACTCAATAACCAACCAATTTTGTCTTTAAAAAGCAGCACATTAGTAGGACATAAAATGCAATGATCTTCGTAACAGAGAATACGGGGCCAGTTTCACAAAGATTTATGTGCACAAATTAATTTCACAGGGGTGCACAGGCCCTGCTGCTAATTGCTAGTGAAGATAACCTGTTTTGATTTTAATCTTACTTACACAGGTTTTACACCTGCTGTGCAGCTCTATGGATTTAACGAAGTTGCTCCTGATTTACACATGGATAAATAAGATCAGAATCAGGCCCAATATAATGAGCTATTTTCATCCTTTCCCCTTGGCACAGGTCTGAATGTAAAGGCACAAAGACTTATGAAATAACAGAGCTACAAAAAATCTGTCACTCTAATAAGTAGCTACACTTCTAAAATCTATGTTTAAAAAATGTTTTAATTTACCATTTACCATTTGCTTCCTTTCTATATGTGGTGCTGGAAGTTCAGAATTCTTGGCATGCAACTCATTGCTGCCAGTGGAGCATTCCAGAGCTATCAGAGTGAAGTTGGATACTAATCTTTACTTTTGTATCTTAGTTGGAGAAACTAACAAATTAGTTTTACTGTTGCACAGAGGCTAAAGCTGGGACAAGCGTTGATGGGGTTAATAGCTCTCAGACTCTTCCCTTCTGCAATTAAATGTACCCACAGGTAAGTGAATTCCTGACACAATTTAGCTCAAGGGATATTCCAGCACCATCATGAATTCCTTTCCAAGGTGCATAATGAGACAAGCATGGCTAGAGATGGAGACAAGGAGGATTGCTGGAGCAGGCTGGCTAGTGGGAAGAAGGAGCAAGACCTTACTTAAAAGGGAATCTGCAGCAGCTCCTCCCTAATGCCTCCCTCCCCCTCCAATGGATCTAAAGAATTAAATCCTCTCCCCTGCCCTGTCCATGCTGCCCTTCTGGCCCCTACTGTCTCTGGAAGCAGGATCCTGAATGAGCTATGCCATCATTGGCTGCCTTCTCAGGATGCTGCACAGAAGTAGCTATTGGGGTCCTGAATGAGAGTTTGAGTTAATAGGCTTACCGCAGTATTAACTCTCACCTAGATATTCATAGTCTCTGGAGGGAACAGGCTGATCCCTAGCTCCACCCCTTCCTAGCTCAGCTCAGCCCCCAAGTCACCCCCGGTTCGGGCTTTTAACTATGTAGCTGCATAAATGGTGTTTAAACAGCTAAGCTTACTCTTTTTATGAGTACATACCTGTGTGGTTCTCAAGCTAGCATTTGGCTCTGTGCTCGCAGCTTCTTTTCTTTCAGGTTGCGTACACTATCCTTGATGGCTGCGATGTGTTCCTAAAGATAAATGTATAGTGCCTACCTGGGAAACTTCAAAATCAGCCTGAAGGTTTCCTGAAGTTAATCCGCTTAGCAGGACTATTTCATTTTCTTTTGGTGGTTGTACATTCATAGAGCTGATAAGTTTTGGGAGATTTGGAGAGACACTGATCAATCTCTGCAATAGGAAAAATATGGTTGAGACAACACCACTCTATTTCACCCCGGTCAGAGTTACACTGTTGCATCCATAAACATTTAAAGGACACTTGGTAGGCATTCCTTTTAAATGCATTTTAAAATGAACTCAGTTCTCAGAACATACCGGAACTAAAATTGGCAGCACTGAAAATGCACATCCTCTATGTATGTACCAAACAATTACAGCAGTGGCAGTGCAAATGTCCCCACATTGCCCTAGAGATATGACAGCATTAGGGATCAGAAGTCAGATCAGTCCCCATGCCCATCAAAAGTCTTGGCCTTTATACTATGAATAGATCCTAAGTGAATGGGAACACTGTGTTAATATGTAAAATACAAAAGGATTCAATAATTATTGGTATGGACCAAATCTTGTAGTTCCTACTCAGGCTTATGATTAACAAGAAATCAAAAGGAGTTTTACTGGGAAAAGATCTGCTGGATTTTGCCCTATGAAATTAATTCAGTTTTAAATCTATATTTACAATGATATATTTAATACACCGTTTGAATTAAACATCCATTTCTTAGATTTAATATACTCTGCAGATACTTTGGTTTCATAACCTATCATTTGTGATATGAAAACAGAGTAACTTTCTATATGGCATGTGTTTTACATATATGCACAGTACATTTAACAAAGATAAACTACTAATGATGATGATACTGTACTTTGCTCTGTTGTTATAATATTTGTATAGCAGGAGCGCCTGGGAGCCCCTGCCATGGATCAGGACCCTGCTGTGCTAGGCACTGTACAAATGCAGAACAAAATAAGACTTCCTGCCCCAAAGAGCTTACCTAAAGCTCTTAATGTGCTGTACGAACAATAAGTAATTAAACATCATAGTATCTCTGAGACACATAACCATTATTATCTCCACTTTATACATGACAAAGTACAGCACATCAGTGGCATAGCCATGAAAAGAATCCAGAATCTTGACACCCAGACCTGTGCTTTAACTACTGCACAATTCAAAGATACTTCATTTCCCCACTCTTTATCTTCAAAATGAAAGCTTACAGTACTGATATTTCTCCTTACACTGATTTAAATTAGACATAATACAAATGGCTGGCTTGGCAAACCTAATTCAGTTATGGGGAACAATCTACTTCTCAGTACACTGATCTGCAGATATGACTAAGTATTAATATTTGACATAAAACTTAAATTCAGTGCTTCAATTCATTTTGACATTTTTAGTCTAGTACAAAAAAAGTGCATGTCTTTTTTTCAATGATCATTTTTCTGTTATCATAGTGTTTTTTCTATATTTTCTTTTACTTAAATTACCATATTTATCAGATTACTTAGATTGGAAAACCATGACATTTTAAATATCTTTTTTTTTCCTGCTTGGAATCAAATGGAAAGGTCTGGGAAGAATGTTCTTAAATTTGTAACCAAGAAACCCTTGTAACATATTCTATAGCATAGTATAGACTCTATTTTATAGGTTTCAGAGTAACAGCCGTGTTAGTCTGTATCCGCAAAAAGAAGAACAGGAGTACTTGTGGCACCTTAGAGACTAACAAATTTTATTAGAGCATAAGCTTTCGTGGACTACAGCCCACTTCTTCGGATGCATATAGAATGGAACATATATTGAGGAGATATATATACACACATAC